TAATCTGGACCAAGTCCTTGCAGCATGTAGGCGATGAGTTCTTCATCCTCTATTCGCTTGCCAATGGCAGCAAGTGTATCACCAAGATGTTTTACTTTACGAAAGTAGTCAGCAATTGTCATGTCCTTTTTCTGGATAGTAGAGAGTTCCATACGGATCTGCATTGCTCTTGCTCGAGATGTGGAAGCAAATTGTCGCTCCAGCGTAATCCAGGCTTCTCGTGCAGTGGTGATTCCAACCATCGTGCTGAGAACCTCCTCAGTGACTGATGAGTTGATGAGGCTGAGTACCAGCTGGTCCTGGGGGTACCAGACTGTGAACTCAGGGTTGATGATAATTTTGCGATTCCCTGTTTCTTCACTTGGTTCAACGGCGATCGTCTGGCTTGGTGCAGGCATGGATCCATCCACAAAACCAACAAGGTTTTGGCTACGCAAGTAGGGAAGGATTTGGGTAGACCACAGTAGATAATTTTCTTGTGTAAGCTTAACACTAATCACCTGACTGATCGACGGAGAAGACATTGTGTTGATTGGGATTGACATGTTTAACAGCAGAGGCTATGGATCTCGTGGATCTTATTTCTGCTCTGATACCATATCAAGTTTATGCAAAACTGTACCTCACACTATTGAGGACATATTCTATTTATATTGGCAAAAGATTAACTAATAGATCCGATTTCATAGGAAACTAACGAAGTAAGCCTATTCTTATGGCATGACTAACTTCAAGCTATTCTAATGGATTGACCAATTCTAACAGGGAGAATATGAAGTGTAGAGGTATACGAGAGAGATAAAAAAGGTGTCCTAATAATGTTGTAGAGAAGTGAAAAATGGGCATTTGTGTATGAAAAAGAACCCTAACCACAGAATATGGGAAGTTTAGGACCACAAATAGAATGGTTGTGCATAAAGAAAGGAAGAGAACCCAATAATTGATATGCCCATCGTCACCATCATGTTGATTCTAGTAGTAGTGGGGATCCCTTGGGTTTCCTCTGAACCCAACCCAAAGGCCATCACTTTTTTCTCTTTAAAAAAACACAAAAGGGCCTTCTTTCCTTGCCCATTGCCTCCCTCCCTCCCACGTTCTGCCACTCGCATGGCCTGTAGCCGAAAGTGCATGCGGGCAGAGTTATCAAAACGCCATTACATGCCAACTCTGCCTCCATTTAGGGTTACCAAACAAATAAAAACAAACCCCACAAGATGCCTTTCCCATTTGCCCCCACAATTTTTATAACCAACACCACTAACTCACCTCTTCCGACTCTCAGTAGCTAGCTCAAACGGGTATTTGGTCTAACAACGGTGACTGACTCTAGAGGCTGAGGATCTCACGTTGAAATGATAGAGTAGACTAATACGACGACTCGGGTGTTTAAAAGTCCAACAAGCTCCCACGGGTATTTAGTTTAAAAAAAACGACTCGATCAAAGAAGAGTGACGCTAAAGAGACACGAGTAGACGAACACGACGACTCGGGGTGTTTGTCTGCCACTCGTCCTCTTAGTTAGGTTAGCCACCATTATTAAAGGCTAAATTCAAAGTGGGTATAAGCTTTGTCATTTCTTCTGTAGGCTTGGAAGTTGGGTGTTGGGGAAGAATAATCATCATAATACGCAAGCAAATCCTCTCACATCCCACTATCCCAAAAGGGTAACCCTACTATGAAAAGTTGACACACACTTTCTCCTTTAGGAAAATAAAACCCCTCTTCTTAATTTCTCCAAAATTTTTAAAATATCCATACCTATCTTACATTTTGAGACATTTTTAATCATTCTCGAGTACACAACACAAGACAGTCTTCCAAGCAACTCATATCAAAACCTCAATTTTTGAACTTTTTACACCCTGTGTTGGATGATGCACTGTCCTTCTTACCCTTTTTGTTGGATGTATGCCGGTTGAAGGTCGGCCGATCGTCCGGTGAGCACCTAGTTTCATAATTATTATGGAAAATAAATGAAAAATGAATTAAAAAAAAAAAGGGCATCTGCAAAAATAAGGTGAAGCACTCGCAGTCGCATGCATTTGCAGAAAATAATAATAAAAATAGTCAACGATTCTTTGCTTTATCAGATAATTGGATTAATAAATTGTAAAGCATATATACTTTAGCGCCGTTGCGTGGGCTTCCCCTCTTGTGTTTAACCCTTATTGGTTCATTCATTGCATCTTCCTTTCTACTTTTCTTTTCTTTTCATTTTCTTAATCCCTTCTTTAAACGCTAATTGCTTCTCTCTTAATACACACTTTAATCTCCCTAATTAATCCCAATTATGTAATCCCTAAGCATCAAATGTTTTCTTCTTTTAACTTTACCCTTTTTTTTTTAATTATTATCTGCGGTCCCGTGTCGATTTCCAATTTCTCGACATTTCTTAGAATATCGAGGAAAAAAATATATTCACGGTTTTAAGGGTTGTTTCTCCCCCGTCCATTTCCAATTTAGTCGAGAGAATATGTGAGATCTCATATCAGTTAGAGAGAGGAATGAAGCAATCCTTATAACGGTGTGAAAACCTCTCCCTAGTAGGCGCGTTTTAAAACTGTGAGGCTGATAACGATATGTAACGAGCCAATATTTGCTAGTAGCGGGTTTGGGTCGTTACAAATGGTGTGCAAGCGAGGACGCGGGACCCCAAGGAGGGTGGATTGTGAGATCTCACGTCAGTCATAGAGAAAATGGAAGCCTCTCTCTAGTAGACGTGTTTTAAAACCGTGAGACTGACGGTGATACGTAACGAGTCAAAACGGACAATATCTACTAGCAGTGAACTTGAACGGCTACAGAATATGTATTAACTAATTGAATCATATACGATCTCATTGACTTCCGTAATCATGACTTAGAAGTCATAGCATTCGATTATTGACTTTTAAAACAGATCAGACATTTACCCTACAAATGACCACATCCGTCTCTATTAACCTATTTTGTTCTTACTCACCTCTACCAAAAACCACTTACCATATAATTAATTACTTTAAGTCATGTATTTCTCGTTCTCGGGTATTCAATCAATTAATTCCCCAAACCGAGAAAGCTTGAGCAGAACAAGATTACCGAACCTTGGAGTTACTCTTAGCTAGACGGGTTGTCAGCCCCACCATCTAACAGAGTGACCGAGAGTTTGGTACAACAATTCTTTCAAGACGGGAGAGACGCATCGGAGATATGTTTATCCACTTACCATATAATTAATTACTTTAAGTCATGTATTTCTCGTTCTCGGGTATTCAATCAATTAATTCCTCAAACCGAGGAAGCTTGAGCAGAACAAGATTATCGAACCTTGGAGTTACTCTTAGCTAAACGGGTTGTCAGCCCCACCATCTAACAGAGTGACCGAGAGTTTGGTACAACAATTCTTTCAAGACGGGAGAGACGCATCGGAGATATGTTTATCTGAGGAGGAGGGTTCGTGGTCGGGCAAGCAAGATCAAGGTTCGCAAATGTTAAGGTTTTTTTGTCCCTTAGAATATTCAACGAAAACAAAAACATATTGGGATCAGCAAGCATGGGAGAGCTTAGATGCACTGTAAATGTAGAGAGAGAATAAGATTTATATTTACAAGAATGCATTGGAAACAGTAAAAAATTAATAATTGAAATAAAAATAAATAAATAAATAAATAAATAAATAAATAAATAAATAAAAGGATAACATTTTCCCACCCCCATTGTTTTTCTCCATGCTTTTGCTCTGTGAATTGGCAATAAAATATTAGAAACTCATCCAATAGAAGATAAACACTTTTAAAATTCCACACCATTATGCAACCTCCCCTTTTATTTAATTAATTAATTAATTATTTAATTTCCCCTCCCCTTTTGAATTCTATATAAACCCCACAGTACTTCTCCCTCTCCACACAACAACTCACCCACAGCCCTTAATTTGTTGCAATTTAGTGGAACAGCTTTTGGGTTTTAGGGTCAAGTCCTTCCAAACATACAAAATTGCATTTCCACCCCTCACCTCAAGATTTGGAGGGTATTTTAGCAATGTTTTTGGAATTGAAATTTAGGGTAAGGAGGAGGTGACAGAAGAGAGTGAGCACATAAGGCACTTTCTTGCATGCTAGGGTTCATGCTTGAAGCTTTCTGTGCTTACTCTCTATCTGTCACCCCACCGTTTCTCTCTCTTCTTTTTTTTCCCTTTTTTTGGCTTTCAATCCGTTTTTGCCTCTTCTCTCTCTACAATTTCTGTTTTTTCTCATATGGGTTTGCCAAAGTTTTGATCTTTTTTGAAATTGCTACTCGTTTTGATTCCATCTATTGATTACTTGCTCAGCTTTACAGGTTTTGGTGTAGCTAGGTCTCTCTCACAGCTTCTAAAGATCCAATCTTTTTCCATTGTGGATATCAAATTCAAAGGATCAGTTCATCAATCCAATCCATTAATCACATGGGTTTGTTGTAAAACACAAACTCAGTTGATGCAACATGCAGCTGAACTTTTTTTTTTTTTTTTCTTGAAATTTTTATGGATTTGGGTTGTTCTTTGATCTGATCTTTACCTTTTTTTATTTACCTAATCTGTTGGCTCTTATTTGTAGGTTAATTGGATGTAATTAAATCATTTAAATTATTAATTAATGGAGAAACTGAACCATTCTATGTGTTGTGAAGATCTAATTCTGTTGGGGTTGAAGATGATGATATACGTCACGAATTTAAACGATCGGTAAAGAATATCAAGAATTCTTGTTCTTCGAGTTCCATCTCTCAATACTTCTAAAAGAAAGAGATTTGAATTATTAGTCGAGATGTTTTCGTTATTACCGATAATATGATACAACAACAGATAGCTTATTCCAAACCCTGTCCCGTTTGTTTCGCTCGCAACAATTCAACGAGTGAAATAGTATTTTCTCTTCTTATTGAGCTCATAACTTGATGTGATTGCAAATGGAAAGCATTTAGTTAAATTTGGTATTGGTTTTACAAACAAGTTCATCAAGAATTTGTTCTTCAAGATCATTGTTTTGCTTCTTCAGTGATCTAATCTTTCCAATTTTGTAATATTTTAGGATTTTGATGAAGTGGGTATGTAAGAGATTGTTAGAACAAGTACTGTTTTATTAAACTATTTGGCCTTACAAAAGAAGTCCTACTCCTTATGCTCTTCACATGTAAACAAGTTATTATTAGAATATGTATGAAACTTCTTCTTCTCAAGTTAAAAAAGGACGTACGATTCTGAGAAAAAAATGTTAAAAATTTGAACTTTAATTTGTTTCAGAAAGTTGAAAGCCATGAAGAGAATTGAATGAAGCCATTATTTTGTAAGAAGTTCATAAGTTTCATAGAAAGATTTAATTATTAGAGAAGAAAACAATAAGACCCCATCAAAGAAGATTTTTTTCTTCCTCAAATGTGGTTTTTCTTCAAAATTTCAAGTGAAAAATCCTCGTCGAAACAACGTTGTTCATGTGATTTTCTAGCGAAGAAGTGGTACCAAAGAGCGATTTCGAATGATGAGATAAGAAATTATGTGTTTTTTCTAACGAAAAAATAAAAAATTTTACATTTTCAGTATTCACTATGCTAGTAAAATCACCTTGAGACTATTGTAAAACGAAGCTAGTAATGTAATGCATCAACTATAATTGTCAATCCGATAAGGCTATGCTCAACAACAGTAGGAATCGGGATTGGATATGTTGAGATTGCTGAGGCAATAGCTCTGCACCATGGAACCTTTTGACTGGTAAAGCCCGCTAAGCGAACGAGGTCGGTGACTCACGAGTTAGCTTCCGACATGCAGTGGCATAGATCGACCAAAATTTGGCTTGAAGATCATCCTCCATGGGCGGACACAGCTCTAATCTTTTTAGGTTTGTTTGCAAAAGAAACATCTATAATCATCAATCTATAAGAGCAATGGGTATTTCATAAATTCCACGTCCACACTCCCTTGTTTCACTTGTACAAACAAATCCCTTCTCATGTTCATTAAAACATTAAGATAAACCCTAAATAATAACTCAAAGCCATCCAGAATTAATACAATATCGTCTGTTTGAAAAATGGAATATCATAAATAGCGGATTCGCATACTGATTCTGAAAGAAAAGGCTGATATGAAGCATGATGCTCACTTCTCTAGGAGGAAGTACATAATGTTCAAAGCAGTAGTTGGGATATAATGCTCCCAATCTCCATTAGCGAACCAAGAACTCACAATGTTTTGGGATGACTTAGACGAGACTCCTGCAGTCCAAGAATCAGCCAACCTAAAACCGAATTGACGAGCAGCGGAAATGATTGTTGGCTCATCGACTCGTCGCAGGACGTGGCAAAGAATCAATGCACATTCGGAATCCTTGCTAGGCGAGATGAGCTCTTTTGCAGTTGAAAACAGTGGCAAAATAGCTTCAGGAACATACGTGACGTCTGTCCCTATGATGACATCAAAACCTCCTGTGCTTATTTCTCTGATAGTTTCAATATGGATGCTATTTCCCCACTCCAGTCTCTCTGTAATTAGTTTTGTGAGGAAATGCTGCTCAAGATTTGAGGTTACATTTTGAGATAATAGGTTTAGAGCACTTGGGTCTCCGTCGGTGGCTACTACAAGATTAGCGGAGCCAACAGCAACCATAGAGCAAATTCCTCCACAGCCACACCCCAGTTCTAACACCCTCTTTCCAGCACATATAGCGGGATTTTCTGCCAGGACAGAAGCCATCAAACGAGCAGATTCCCACAGCATCAAACCAGTGGATTTGCAGGTATGTTGGAACTCTTTCGAGAGAACTTTAATTTTGAAATTCCATCCTCTAACATCCACCTTGATAATCTAAGAAAATCAAACGATTGGACACAAGTAGAGTTTAGAATATGGGTGGCCAGATTGTGGAAAATAAATGAAAAGATCAGTAGTTTGTATGATCATAAAGATTTGGGGGCAATCTTAGAATTTTATCATGGATAAACACACCTCATTATCCTGAGAAGGTGAGATTCCAAACATATCAATTGCAACACCCTCGGAGAAGTCGAGTTCAAAATCGTTGACAGGCACCTCTGAACGGTTCTCCTTGGGCCCAGGCTGGGTTTTAACTTTATCGGGCAAGCCTGCCCTAAGACCAGCTTCTGGAGTTGCAAACTCAGAAAGGCTGAATACAGCTTGGACCCATCGCCTTAAATCACAAATAGAAAGAGTTACTATTAAAAAAAAAAAATGCCTCGCCGGAAGAACTAAATTCGTAACATAAAAAGCAAAGAATCAATTTAAACATTTCAGATCTAATGAGTTTTAAATCAAACTTCAGATTCAGCAAGTTCTTTGCGTAGGTTAGGACATCACACATGCACCCATATAATGAATTTGAATTTCAATATGAAGCAAAACATTACCAAGCAAAACATGCCCATCACCTAATGCGTGGGGTAATAATCGGTTACAGCATTTTGAACCTGGCAATTCAAATTCACTTAAGTGGCTATTTGACAAAACAACTAAATTAACAACTATGATAACCAAAACTGTGGACAATTTGAATTAGGCATAATTTTGGCCATGAAGTGAATAAGACTTAATCCAATCTGAGGAAACCAACAGTAAATTAATTAATTAATTCAAGAAAAAGGTGGAAATATTTGTACAAAAGTATTTACCTATTCATGACCAAATCCCTCGATCGGTTCTCAACTTGTTTGCAGCATACGTCAAGTTCTTTAACATCAAATCCAATTTCTTTAAATGTACTTGTAAGAAACTCATTAGAGAAGTAGAAAGCACGCTGACCGAGGTAGAGGCATTGAGATTAAAAACTGACCAACAAAAGAGCATATTATTGTAAGCATGAAAAAGAGTGTAACTTACAGTTCCATCTCCTCGGACGTAAAAGTTCTCACTGATTTTTTTATCTTTGCAATCAAATCGTTCCTGTCAATGAGACCCGAGAGAAAGAGCATATGTACTTGAGAACCGTATGGTGAAAGAACATAAACATCTTGTATAAAAGCCAACAAAAAAGAGAGGGACTCGGCAACTCATCATGGAAATTATCGAATTATCAAACAATATATGAAAAAACAAACTCGGCAACTCATCCATAGATTCAATTAGAAGGAAATTGAACATATAGTATAGCTACACTGTTATTTGTAAACTCTACTTTCAGCATTTTGATAAAAAAGGAAGAGGTCCTTCAAATAATAGATAATAAGATGTGGCAGAGCAGAATAGCACACGCAGACAAAAGAAAACAATAAAACATATTGTAGATACCTGAGCAAGGTCACCAGTTGCATAGTCACGAAACAGAACGCATCCAGTAGGCTGAAAAAAACGAAAGATGATCAAATTTCATTGGATCATCAGCCGTTCTTAACAAGACACGATAAAAAAGATTGAATGTTAATGAGTGCTAATGAGTTCTTACTTTCAACACTTTTTTCACATTTCGCAACACCAGGGACATCTTCTCTGGGGAAACTGCAGACAAAACAAAAATCTGCTTAATAAGTTAGCTACTTAAAAAGTAGTAATAATGAGACTAAGTAAAGATCAAATGACTGAGAAAATGGTAAAACATGAATAATTTATCAACATACTAAGCTAGTAAAATAACGATGATATATTCAATAGAGATTCCAAGTCGTAATTTTCAGTGAATTACCATCGTTACTACATCAACTGATGATGGAGAAATGTGGTTGCTCAAGTCATCAGCAGTAAGATCACAAACAAATGCAGCAACACGGTCGTCATTGAAGTCTTTATGTGCCTGCATGAGCAAGCTAATCCATTTAGCCAACCTAAGCCACTTTTATCATTATCAAATTCCAAAAGCTAAGAAAATACTAGTTAGAACATGAAGGCAATGAGACAGGACAGCAACAAAAAGGCAAAACTTCTAAGCAAAAATTAATAGGGTGAAGTCATTATGCCACCAAACCTTGACTAAATTCACTGCTCGTGGTGAGAAATCACATGCATGAATGAAAACATTTGGGTATGTAGCAATCAAGGGGAAAACAGTATTTCCTGCTCCACAGCCAACCTGAAAGGGAAAAGAAAAACAATTTGAAATACTAGCTAGCACCTAAAGAAAGATAATGGTAGGGAGCTTTTTGATTAAAAATATGGATAATCAGGCAACATTGAACTGAATGACAAGAATTGATCACTTACCTCCAAAACACCTTTTCTTTCTTCTCCCTGAAGATCCACAAAATATCAACGATTGAGTACATTTGAGGCCTCCATAACACAAGAAAAAAGAATGCTACAACTAAACCTCGCAACATGCTGAACTCACAGAAAAGTATTGGCCCCATTCTTTGTCCAGGTAGTGTCGGTCCTTGAAAAACTAAAAAGTGAAAATGGAAGCAAATACCATTACCATGCTATAACTAAAGCTTATGCATAGCAAAATAACAAAATTGAAACTATTTGAGTAAATTTCAAAATTTTCTGAAGGTGAGTGAATTACATCAGCAGCTTTGAAAACAATGGCAAAGAGAAAACCAGCCAAAAATTGAGCGATGAACTTTTCAAAATGCTATTCAAATAAATACTCCAGATACCAAGAACCAATCCAAGTTCAAAATGATTTTAGCCAAGCAGTAACTTACTCGGTCTTGATGCTTTTTATAA